TGCCGCCTTCTGCAGGTCCGATTTTTATTCTGGCATTGAACAGTTCAGATACTGAAGGAATTAACACTTGCTTTTCCTGGAACAATGTCTCCACTTTTACGCCAAAGACACCTGCAATACTTAGAAACAAATCTAGAATAAACAAAGACACTTTGATGGGGCCTATGTTTTTAAGCAAGGACATTTTATCCCGCAACTGGGAAGAGAGGGAACAATTTGGTGGTCCTTCTGCAGCTTCAAGGTCCCCTGCCGAGTCTTCTGTTTTCGTCTTATTTGAGTGATTCTTATTTGTCTTCTTGCTATCCTTTTTCAAAGTTATGTATTGGTACAGAAGATCCAACAAATGACGATGCTCTACTGATTTTAGCACACATTCATGCCACTCCACGTTGATCGGTGACATTTTTCGGCTAGATTCCACAAAAAGGTTTGGTAAATACTCCTCTTCCTCACAACAAGTCTTGGAGAAGATGTTTTTTAACACAAACCTGTACCAACAACAACTTAATTAGCTGAGTGATCGAGTTAATTAAGTACATATTGAAATTCGTATCTTGAAATCTAATTAATTATGATTGCCTTAATTGCATAATAATTATAAAACGAACCTCGGAATCTGGTTCTCCAGCTTAACGATGTCTTCGAGGATGGCATCCTTGGGAAGCATCTTATCCGAGGAAGAGAGAACTCGAAGAAACGTTGAACAATCAGGGATTTTGTTAGACTCGACGTATTTATCGAGCATCGCAAGCAGGAACAACCCGTCAATGATCATCATTAAGGCCAATTGATCATACGACATAAACTGGACATCATGATAAGATTCATGGGTATCGTTTCCCTTGCACTTGGAGAGCTCCTCAATGAGCTCTCGAGTAAGCCTTTCAGTGAGTTTATCGAGTTGAAATTATGTCGGAACTTCTTACCTGAATCAATTTTGTAGTTTTGCATCCGGTGGAGGTTGTGATCTAAGTGATAGTAGGGTCCGAGTGCAACCAGTTGGGGAGTGTAGACCTCAGGCTCTTTTTGACGAAGAGAATCCGGCACTTGAAAGATACAGGTGACCGGTTCTGCTTTTTCAGTTTCGTTCTCGTTGTTTGATCAATGAGAAGTGTAGTCATCTCCTTCTCCCAACTCTCTTCAATGGAAGAATAAGAGGACATTTTGGTTTTTGAGTTGTGACTATGCATAGTTTTCCCTTTTCTTTTTTTTTTTGATGTTCAAGTTGTGATTATGGTTATGCTCTGCACTTCTACACTCTGGATATGAAAGATGCTGATGAAACATAATCTACCATTTTCATTTTCTTGTTTCTTTCTTCTCTTTGGGGGGGCTTTGGTTAGAGAAATGTTTCCCCAGAAGAGGAATTGTATAAGTGTTTACGAAAACAGGAAACGGAAACCTAAGACTGTCTGACAGTCCTAAAAAGCAACATCCCCTTGCGAAGAAATCTGAAACATAGTGCACCATTTTCATTTTTTTT